ACACCGGTCAGAATGGCCAGCATCAAAAAATCTACAAACAGTAAATGCTAGAGAGGGTGTGGAGAAAAGGGAACCCTCTTGCACTGTTGGTGGGAATGTAAGTTGATATAGCCACTATGGAGAACAGTATGGAGATTCCTTAAAAAACTAAAAATAGAACTACCATATGACCCAGCAATCCCACTACTGGGCATATACCCTGAGAAAACCATAATTCAAAAAGAGTCATGTACCACAATGTTCATTGCAGCACTATTTACAATAGCCAGGACATGGAAGCAACCTAAGTGTCCATCAATAGATGAATGGATAAAGAAGATGTGGCACATATAAACAATGGAATATTACTCAGCCATAAAAAGAAAGGAAATTGAGTTATTTGTAATGAGGTGAATGGACCTAGAGTCTGTCATACAGAGTGAAGTAAGCCAGAAAGAGAAAAACAAATACTTCCTGCTAACACATATATATGGAATCTTAAAAAAAAAAAAAAAAAAAAATGGTTCTGAAGAACCTGAGGGCAGGACAGGAATAAAGACGCAGACGTAGAGAATGGACTTGAGGACACGGGGAGGGGGATGGGTAAGCTGAGACGAAGTGAGAAAGTAGCACTGACATATATACACTGCCATATGTAAAATAGATAGCTAGTGGGAAGCAGCCGCGTAGCACAGGGAGATCAGCTCGGTGCTTTGTCTCCACCTAGAGGGGTGGGATAGGGAGGGTGGGAGGGAGACAGAAGAGGGAGGGGATATGGGGATAGATGTATACTTATAGTTGATTTACTTTGTTATACAGCAGAAACTAACATAACACTGTAAAGCAATTATACTCCAATAAAGATGTTAAAAAGAAAATATTGCTAAAAATAAAGAACAATTAAAGAATGGAACAGCAGTGTTAGTGAAGTGGGACGGTCTTCAAAGACATGAGTCCAGTCAAGTACCCTCTGGCTGGAGTGGATCATTAGTACTGGGGTCATGTAGATTGTTCTCTACCCATCTTAGAAAAAACAGGCTGCTTAAAGAAATGGCCTGGGGTGGACGAAGGAAACGTTTTGGCCTCCAGTGCCTTCAAATACCATTAATTCCTTTTTTAGTCAACAAATATCTCAATTTGCTATACAGCAGAAACTAAATTGTAAATCAACTATACTCCAATAAAAATTAATTTTTAAAAATATTTTAAGAACAACAAAAAAAACCCAAATATCCATCAAGCACATGGTTTATACCCATTGGGCTGGGCCCTAAGTGTACAGAATAGAGACAGCCCCATTCTTTAACTACCCAGTGCTTGAACTCTGTGATGCTATCAGCTTACTGAGTGATGTTCATTCTCCTGGGTAAAAATTCACCCTTGGGTCACCAGTGCTTTGCAGAAATTAGATGTACAGAAAATAGCACACAATCCAGGCACACATAGAGTTCTGAGTCTAGTGGGCTTGCTAAAGCTTACTGGTTTTAAGTTGAACACTTCAGATGAGGGAGACAGTACTCTTCACTTAGACTCATGATAACTACTTCTCTGTCAATGTAGATATCATTATCCTTATCCAACAAATGAGAAAATACTCAGTTACTCTTGATAGCTAAGTTACTACTTGATAAACAGACTTTGCTCAATTCTCTGATAAATGAATTCAAGCTAAGCTATTAAGAGGCTAAGTAGATGGATCTCAGGACAAAAAGAAAATGATTTTGATATATTGGAAGAGAATCCAGAAAGGTTTGGTGATACTCCAAATAGTAACATTACTCTCTAAATTTGGGGTGGTGGATGATTTCTTTTCTCTTTTGTTTGTTTTAGTTTTTGTTCATTAATGTTTTCCTTTCTATCTGCATTTTATAAATGTTCTTTGAAATATATGGCTCTTTACTTAGAAAATTATTTTTTAAATTTTATGTAAGGGTAAGGTTAAGATTTGCTGATAAGTATGGAGAGCTGCTTAAAACAATGGTTTTATTCTAAGTTTCAAAAGAAACATCTAGAGCTGTTTCTCTAATAACACTAACAGCAGTAGCATTTATTGAGTGACTAGTGTGGATCAGACACTGTACTAAGAGTTTTATATACATGAGAATTTTCAAATATTAGTAAATATTGATATCAGTATGGTTCTACAACCCATACCGTTTTTATTAGACTACCCTAATTTTATTGCCCACCTACAGATTGTTCTCTTTATTATTCTTCCATTTACCCTGTGTCAACCTCTTTATTAATGTAAGCCTCTATTCTCCAAGTAGGACAGTCCTATTTCTTGCAGTTATAAAACTCAAATGCAATGTTTTATATAAAGAAAACTTTCCAAAGATTACTGCCATTACTTAAGAACAAAATCAATTAAATACTTGTAGGGGATTACATACTCGGAATTTTATTCATTTATTAAGCAAAAATCCATCCAGGCCTTCAGGGGAAATAGCATGGCAAAGTTGTTTTTTTGTTTGTTTGTTTTGTTTTTTTTAACTCATTCTCTGAATAGACTACAAATGCACATAGCTGTTTCCAAATTCTTTTTCAAGTAGGATTTTTAAATATTCAAGCAAGGCACTCAGAGTTGAAATATATTAAATCAGTTGCCACAATATCAAGAAAAATTCATAATCACTGAACTCTATTACGTATGCCACACAAACTGATACGAAACGCTGATAATGGTTACTTTTTACTCTGGAGTATGTTCTTACTGTTTCAATCCATGTTGAAAAGATAGCTATGGCCATTTAAATAATGTCTTTATGTATTGATTCACTATGATTTAAAATAAAGTTGTTAAAGTCATTTTTTTTTATATTTCAATAACTCTTTTAGTTTTCTCTTCGTTAGGATTTGCCTGGTCTATGGTTCTCCATCCTTTCATTAGTGATCCTTCTGTGTCATTATATTTCAGATGTGTAATTAGCACAGACCTGGAATTTTTAAACCAATCTGCACCTGATTTTTAAGTGTTAAACTTACACCATTGATATTTATTGTAATTACTAATATTTTTTAATCAATTTTTATATTTTGTTGTGCCTCCTATTTGCCAATTTTATTGACTTTTTTTCTTTTCCTGCCATATATTGGATTCATTTCTTCTTTACTCCTCTTTTTTTCTCTTTCTAGAAAGTTATACAAATTCTATTCTTCCATTGCTTACCTTCAGTGTTTAGCTAAATAAATAAATAGTATGCTTGAATTTTAAAACTCTGAAGTTCATATCCTCTTCCCAACAATACAGCAAACTTAAGATGATTTTGCTCTGATGGTATGGATGCTGTACTGTGTTTGAAAGTAGAGCTCTTTTCCTTATAAAATAAAATTTGAAAAGACAGAAATGTCTTTAGCATTATTCCTATTTTTAGTCATAAATTGGTGAGTGAAATTAACTTACTATGATGAATGTAATTTCAACTTTAATTGATCAAACACTTATCTAAAACAAACATTTTGATACATGTAATTCCCTATATTCTTAGACTCCTCATTAAAAGCCACAAACCTTGGAACCCTTGAAATAGAACTTTCAATGTTGCAGGAGTATTCTTTGCTCTTCTTAGTAAGCCTACAGAGAAATTTGGCATTTTGATGACAAAGAGCAGAATAAATACACATATAACTTGCGTTACAATAACTGGCATATAAAAATTTGCTAATGTTTTATTTAGTATTTTGTCTCAAAAATATACTGTGTGAATATAACTATTCCATTTTTTTCAATGCTCTTATTAATCTACTAACCAGAACTATAACTTGGGTAATAGACTGTTTTCTAGACTGAATTAAGACTAAATAGCTTATTATTCTGCCTTAATACTAATCACCCCTTTTCCATTTTATATGTTATTACTGTCTAATATTTTATTTTGATATTGTTTTTATACCCTCAAACCTTATAATTTGTATACACTTAATCCTTGCTTTAAATTACTAATATATTTATAAATATCTTTTTTTAAGTATTCCTTCTAACACCTCACTCCTTCCTTGTGGGCTTAATTTCTTGAAATTCATTTTTTATTAGTGTTTACTGGAATGACACAGTGGAAATGTTATTTTTATTGAAGTATGTAGAGAAAATACCACATCAAAACTGGACAAGTGTTTCAATGAACTTTTTGTATTCTGTTACTTTAAAATCCATCGATCTATCTTCCCTTCTAAAGAATCTTTTACACAGGCATTATTTTGTAGCATCATATATTAGTCACTTGGAAAACAGTGGTTCACAGACCTGAGCAGATATTTTCTATGTTAACTTATTTTAGTACATAATATTGTTTTAAATCACATTTGCACGTAACACCTCCAATCTCATCAGAAAAGTCGAACTGTGGATATGCTATTCAGTCACAGTGGCAGATACAAGTTTTTCCAAATTCCAGTTTGCACTTGAAAAGTCTAATTTTAAAATTGGCCACAAATACTACCAGTTGCTTTCCATGAAGTGACAGGCTTACTTTGTTCATTTTTATTAAAGTATCTGCCAAGTGCCCAAGTCTGAATAATGATAGTCTGTGTTAGTCATTCTTTCAGGTTAAAAATGATGTTCCATTAAAACAAAAATTTATTCTTTTACATTTAAAACATGGTGTTTTCTGAGTTGGGAACAAGCTTGGCTTGTTAAAGAAACTGAACAGAGTTCATTATGGCCAAAACAGTGTGGAGGATGGGGCTGGATGAAGAAATAAAAGAAAGATTATCTGGGGCCTTATTGACAGAAGTTAAAACGTTTGGATTTTCTTCCAGGTGTAAAGAAAATCATGGAAGGATTTGTACTGGGGGGCGGGGAGGTGGCAAAGTCAGAATTACATTTTTTAAAGATGACTCTGGATGCCCTAAAGAGACAGGGACAAAAGCTGAAGCAAGAGAACAGTCTAGAGGAGACTGCTGTCTGTAGTGAGATGATGGTGGTACAGACCAAGGTTGCCATAGACACAGGAGGGAGGGATGGGTTCCAGCTCCTTGTCAGAGGGACGCAGTCATATTTAAATGTGAATTTATTTTTCCAGATCATAAAGAAAGCATGCAGTCCTATCCTCCTCAGAGATGTCCGTCTCCCGCCAGCTATGGCCCTCTGGAAAATTCGCTACGTTGTAAATACACGAGCAGGAAGAAACCTCTCCCCACAAGGTCTGACGAAGAGGTAAAACAGACACTTCTCTGCAATATTTTTCTAGATGAACTTAGCATCTAGCATCTAGAGCTTAGCATCTAGAGCTTTCTTGAACAGTGCTTAAAAGGAGATCATTATGACTGGATCTGAGTTTTCCCCTTCTCGCTCTGTATTATTGGAGTTTAATATTTTTTAAAGTATTTTGCTATATAACTTTTTTTTTTTTTTTTTTTTTTTTTTTTGGCTGTACGCGGGCATCTCACTGTTGTGGCCTCTCCCGTTGCGGAGCACAGGCTCCGGACATGCAGGCTCAGCGGCCATGGCTCACAGGCCCAGCCGCTCCGCAGCAATGTGGGATCTTCCCGGACTGGGCCACGAACCCATGTCCCCTGCAACGGCAGGCAGACTCAACCACTGCGCCACCAGGGAAGCCCTCACTAGATTCTTTAACTTGCATATTTCCAGATTCTAAAAGTGCTTTTTTAAAATTAATCCAAAAAATAGAGATTTAGGACTGTTTTATATTTATTGACTGTTCAGTAATCTTTTAGAATTGATGGGTATTTACATATTGCAATTGTTTTTCCAACAAAAGATCCACATATTGTATGCTCATTTCATTTGAACAGTCTAGGAAGCACGTGTTGAGCACTTATTCTATACCAGACAACCTGCTAGAAGCTATGGTCTCTGCCCCAGAGGAGACATAAAGAGGAGGGAGAGATGAAAATAGATAGTAGATGGATTCTTGCTTGCCCTTCATTTATTTCCTGGTCTCTTTCTAAAATATTCTCCATCCCTACAATCAGTTCTCAGACCACGTTGCACTTACACTTACCTATATGGGGGGATAAAACTTTCTTTGTAAATTCTATGCTCTTTCCTCAATCATCTTGCAACATTACTTATTAAAGTCTTTCACAATAAGGCACAAAAAGACATGCTTCGTCTGGGTCTCCATCCCATATCCTCATATGCTCAGTGTTCTGCTACAGAGCTTGCAAAAGATTTTAAGCAGAAGCAGAGTACATAGAATACCTCTGTGGTCAATTGCTCATAATCCCTACAGCGTCCCAAGCGCCATTGGTTGTCCTTATATTTACATTAATTTTGACCTTAATTCTAAAAGAAGTCTCATACAGCTAAGTTTGACTTTGGGGAATGTTTTGCACATAATTCTTTTGTTGCCCCTTCTTACAGACCTGGTTTCCTTTTCCTCATCATCTCCTTCATAAGCGCTGGAATTCCAGGGTCCTAACTAGATGTCTATCCAAAAGTTACATCCCTCCCAGAGCCTGGATTCCTCAAGCATGGGAAAGTCTTGCACTAAATAAGGATTGCCCTGATTTCAACTATTTGAACGCACCTTTATGATCTGTGGCCTATCCATGTACTATCAATAATAATGTTATACTTAATCAAGTTAACTTTTTACATTTTATATCACTACTCCAAATAGAAAACCAGTATTACATACATATAAAGTAATCTTTTTCTTTAATTTATTTTATTTATTTATTTTGGGCTGTGTTGGGTCTTCGTTGCTACCCACAGGCTTTCTCTAGTTGCAGTGAGCAGGGACTACTCTTCATTGTGGTGCACGTGCTTCTCATTGTGGTGGCTTCTCTTGTTGCGGAGCACGGGCTTTGGGCACACGGGCTTCAGGAATTGTGACACGCGGGCTTCTGTAGTTGTGGCTCGCAGGCTCTAGAGCACAGGCTCAGTAGTTGTGGCACACAGGCTTAGCTGCTCCGCGGCATGTGGGATCTTCCCAGACCAGGGATCGAACCTGTGTCCCCTGCATTGGCAGTGGATTCTTAACCACTGCACCACCGGGGAAGTCCCAGAAAGTAATATTAAAACTAATTGCAGCATTCTACTTCTAGGTATATACCCAAAAGAAATGAAAGCAGGGACTCAAACAGATTTTTGTACATCCATGTTGACAGCAGCACTATTTATAATAGCCAAGTGGTAGAAACAACCCAAATGTCCATCAACAAATAAATGGATACAGACAATGTAGTAACATTATTCAGCTGTAAAAAAGAATGAAATTCTGACAGGTGCTACAACATAGATGAACCTTAAAAACATGATACTAAGTGAAATGAGTCAGACACAAAAGGACAAATATATGATTCTAGTTATATGAGGGTAAAATAAGTAAATTCATAGAGACAGAAAGTAGATTGGTGGTTACAAGGGGCTAGGGGAGGAGATAATGGGAGTTGTTGTTGAATGTGTACAGAGTTTCAGTTTGGGATGATGAAAATATTTTAGAGCTGGATCGTGGTGCTGGCTGCAAAGAAATGTGAATGTGCTCAATGCCACTGTATTGTATGAACACTTGAAAATGGTTAAGTGGTAAATCGTATGATGTGTATATTTTTCACATTTTTGAAAAAAATTTTATTGTAGCTCAAACAAAACAAGGCTATTAAATTGTAGCAGGAGCGGTGGAATAGGGAGGGTGGGAGGGAGGGAGATGTAAGAGGGAAGAGATATGGGGATATATGTATATGTATAGCTGATTCACTGTGTTATAAACCAGAAACAAACACACCATTGTAAAGTAATTATACTCCAATAAAGATGTTAAAAAAAAATTGTAGCAGGATGCCATCACTCGCTAATGAGTCTCAGCATAAGGAGAGATTAGAAATACCAGAGAGATATTAAGGACAAAATAGCACCAAAATGAAATGCCCCTCTTGGATTATTCAAAGGGCTAGAAAGAGAACTGAAAGGGAACCACTTCCCACCCGCCCCAGGTAATTCAGAGTTATCTAATTCTGTGTTTGAGCAGCACCTAAACTCACCAGCCAGCACTCATGATCACACCTGGAGAACTACGGGGTTATAAAACCTCTAAGTGTCCTCCAGCTTGAACAAATAAACAAAATCAGAGTAGATGAAACACACCATGACCGAGCCCTGCCAAGCCCCGGGACTGGCAGAGAGGCCCCCAGAAGCAGCAGACCACTATCAGCTCAGAGAGCTCCCAGTTCTGCAGAGAGATGCCCTTTCTCTGAGCTGCCCTTTGTTTCTGGAGCCTGTTGTCTGGCTTTGCTGGAGTGGAACAGGTCCTGCCTCTGGACCTTCCAGCACCAACCCTCCGCTAGGGGTAGGGACTAGGTAAAGGAATTCATTCCAAAGGAGGCCTCAAATAAGAGGTGACTTTGCCCCAAAACTTGATGGAAGAGAATGGCAGAGCCAGGGAGAAGAAGAGTGAGGAGAAGGAGGGATTCCAGGCAGGGGGCGGGGCTCGCTCATGCCAAGCCCTGAAGCTGGGTGTGTCTAGACAACAGCAAGCACATCTGGCTTGTCCTCAGACTGGGGAGCGGGGCAGGGAGAGGAAGTGAAGCTGGAGAGTTGGGAGGGAAGCTGACTCATGCCTTTCCCAGTGGCACTCACATATGTTTGCTGTACCCATCATTGGAAGGATCAAGATTGTGCTGGGAGGACCAGGTACTTTGGGAGACCAAAGACCTGATGTCACATCCCTAGTTCTTGCCACATGTAACAGAAGTTGACTTCCTGAGCCTCCACTGTCCTGGCAATGCCTGCCTCACAGGATTCTTGCAGGCATGGACTGGGATAATGAATGAGGGATATCCTTGGAGACGTTGGACTCATGCAAAGGATTATTTAATATTATTATCCTTGGGACTCGGTAAAGGCATTGCAGATCCGTGGTGCATCTCTGACTGCCCTTCCTTCTCTCTGTTATGTGGATTTTACAATCAAAAGAAATAAATTAGTATAAATAAGGTAGTATGGCACAAGAAGAAAGCCAGACAGACTAGGGTTCAAATCCCAGTACTACTACATGGGACTTTAGGCAATTGGCATAAAGATGCTCTCAATCTGTACCTGTCTTCCCCTCCCCTACTGTTTCTATGGTGCCTAGGGCCTCATAGGGACCATAAACAATATATATCCCACCTCAATAAGCTTCAGCAGGTACAGGTTCAGACAGCATTGACAGATAAATGGTTTATTATCCATTTTGAGTTTGTTGCCAAAGCACGTTTCTCAGTAGATGGAGTGACATTTCTGGTTACTCTCAATGACAGACAGATTTTGTCGTGCCAATTTTGTAATTCCTAAGCTGCCATTACTTTTTCTGTGTCTAACTCAAGATCCAGGGACAGAAATTTTATACTGCGTATCTCCCATACATCCAACTGTGATTTGGCACTAGTGGAATAAAAACAAATTTTAATTAATAATTAATCGTTTCCTTTGACCCTAAAATATTCATCATTTAAACCTGTACTGCAGGATATCCGGCACAACGAATGGTACATTGGAGAATACAGTCGCCAGGCAGTGGAAGAGGCATTGATGAAGAAGAACAAGGTAATGGCTTCTCCTGTTGTTGTTTCTGTAGTCATCCTATGGTTTTCTGCCTATAGGTCACAGGATGTAACAAGCAGTGCGCTTTGATGTAGTTCCTGCCTCACCCTGTATTTCTCAGTGTTGGGGAGATTGTCGTTGAAAGTGAGCTTTCAAACAGAATTTTAGATTTGAGACTTGGTTGTACCACTTATCAGCTGCGTGACTTTCTCAAGTTCCTACATATCTGTAAATGCAGGTTTCTTTCTTTGTTAAATGAAAATAGTAAAATCAACCCTAAGGAACTATTTTGGAGATCAAATGTGGAAGCTGGGGTATAAATGGAGGTTGCAATGGAAGGTGCCATCCTTCTGCTTTGTTCAAATTTCATCTCCTTCCTACAGGTCTGCCCAAGGTACAGTTGGGTTTTTATGTCTCACTTCTTCAGGAAAGGAGCAGCGATCGTGAATGCTGTAATAGTCAGTATGTGATAGGTTATGCTGTAGTAACAAACAGCCCTGAGATCTCAGTTGCTTAGCGTAACAGAACTTTATTTTTTGTTTGAGCTCCATGCTCAAGACAGGTTTGGGTGGGTAGACCCAGACTGCTAGAGGCTCCATCTCAATGTATGCTCACACCAATCACATACTGCCTCTCAACACATCCTCTCAAATTTAACATGCTGCATCTTTGCTCACATTTCATTGGCCAGAGTAAGTCCCATGACCAGACCTAACTTCAAAGAGGGTGAAAAAAGTACAAAGCTACATGTGACCAAAAAAAGAGGAAACCTGTGATATTTGTGATCAGATCAAATGACTACTGCAACCATCATCACAAATAGAAAATAGTTATTAAGCAACTACTCTACTATGTGCAAAGAACTATACTAGATTGTTTAGAAATGGTAGAAAGGCTCTCAAGACTGATGCAACACCAAAACCTATCCTCAACTAACCAATACAATGGTCACTGCTGAATGAGGAAATACAAAAATGAATGAGTTAGTTAATTAGTGGATGGCTGAATAAACGATAGGTCCTCAAAAAATTTTAATAAAGCCTAGCTTTTAGAATTAATATTAAAAAATTAAATAAGATAAATTATATGTAAGTTACTATGGTAAACAGAAAATGCTCCCCCTATCACAATATATCCACATTCTAATCCCCAATACCTGTGACTATGTCACCTTATTTGGAAAAGGAATTTGCAGGTGGGATTAAGTTAGGAATCTTGAGATAGGGAGATTATTCTGGATTATTGGGGAGGGTTTAATAAACTCACAAGGGTCCCTATAAGAGAGAGGCAGCAGTATCAGAGTTAGACATAGAGGGCCACAGGTAAAGGCACAAGTGGTGGCTTCTAGAAGCTGGAAAAAACAAGGAAATGCATTTTGCCTTAGGGTTTCTAGAAAGAACACAGCTTGGCTGAGACCTTGATTTTAGCCTAGTGAGACCCATGTTGGACTTCAACCCCCAGAATTGTAAGAGAATAAATTTGTGATGTAGTCCTTTATGTTCATAGGAATTTGTTATAGCAACAGTAGGAAATTAATACAGTTGTTAAAGTATCTTGAACACATTAGGAATTAATGAAACTATGTCATTCTCTAGATAAGGAAACCGATGCTAAGGTTTCAATTACAAGGTAGAGAAATTGGCAGAATCTATATTCATGATCAGTCCTCTTTTCACAAAATCACAGCTGCCTCTAGTAGCCACTAGAGTTCTTTACATTCTGGAAGGGGAGTCATAGGTGGCTGGGTGGTGCCTTGGCTGGAGCACCCTCCCTTCCCTCTCCCCAGGGAATCTCATGCACAACTGACCTCTGCTGGGTCTAATGGTGGCACAGTGGTTCCAGCTCCGACCCTGTCTCTTCTTGGCTAATCAGCGGTCGGTCACACTCTCTTTGCCTCTTTCCCAAGGGAAAATAGCTCTTAGAAGACCTGCTTCCGGGAGCCCCTGTGTGGACGGTACTAAAAGGGCAATGTACATGCCACATAATGTCCTTCCAGCTATGTTTGGGCACTCTCAACGCTCCCTTGCCCCATTCTCTGTGCCTGTTTCTGCCTCCTCCCAAAAAGCACTGAGAAACAGAAACTCAGTTGAATGACTTCATATTTTCCTATTTTGTTTGTCTCAGTTAGTTTTGTCAAAACGTGTTTCCCATTTATGTAAGATAATTTAATTCAAATTGCAGGACTGCCCAGATTCATTGTGACAAACTCATTGCAGAGTCTAAGATGATAAACCCCAAAACTGGCCACATGTCTTGGCCTCCTCTCCCTTTGTGATCTTTGGCAATGTTCTGTGTTTGAGTCTTTTTTTTCTTTAATTTTTTTTTCTTATTGAAGTATAGTTGATTTACAATGTTGTGTTAATTACGGCTGTACAGTAAAGTGATTCAGTTATACACATATGACACAAAAGAACCTATCTATGAAACAGAAACAGACTCAGGGACATAGAGAACAGACTGGTGGTTGCTAAGGGGGAGGGGGATGGAAGAGGGATGGAGTGGGAGGTTGGGGTTAGCAGATGTAAGCTTTTATGTATAGAGTGGATAGACAACAAGGTCCTACTATATAGCACAGAGAACTATATTCAATATCCTATGATAAACCATAACGGAAAAGAATTTAAAAAAAAAAAAGAATGTGCTTGAGTCTTAAGGCTTTAATTACAGCTGAATGTTTTTGGCAGAACAGGTTCCAGAAAATTCCTTGAATCCACTTTATGTACTTGGAGGTTGGTATATTTATAGAAAGAATTTCACCTTGACTTTCAGGTATTCCATTGATTAGCTGTGATGTGTGAGAGGATCCACTTAGACAATTAGACCCTAATTCCCTTACCTGTAAAATGGGGATAAAATACCTCCTCAAATTTTATGTAAGGATCAAATGAAATGTGTGTAAAGTGCATGGCATCTTGAGAGCAGTTTTCAGTAAACCTTAGCTGCCAGCATCATCATGGCATCACTGTAGTTTTATAGTATTGTTTATAAATTTAATATACTTATAGTATTGTTATACAGTATTATAATCATTATTATATATGTACACATAATATCTGTAAATATTAGTTACAGACATATATAAACATATAGATATGAAATATATTCTATAGAGGAGATAATATATATAACAGCTATTATAAATATAAATTATCATATATAATATCTATCTATATAAAGAATAGATAGTAAGTACCACACACACCTAATTAGATTTATTCTTTATGGATTATTTATAACCACCTACACAGAAATCTATGCAATTACAGTTACAGATTTTTCAGTATTTTTCGTCATATAAATGACACAATGTAACCACAAAACTAAACCTTGTACGTGTGTGTATGTTTAGGAGGATTGCTCCATTTCTTAGCCTTTTACGACCAGACCTTCATCCTAAGCTACTCTCCAGGGTGTGCCTGATTATTTTATATTATATTTATAGTTGGCCTACTCACATCCCTCAGACTATTTCATACTGTTGACCTTCTTTTGGAAACCCTCGCTCTCCCCCCCTCCACTTCTATGACACTGAAGCTTCTGGGTTTCTGTCTGTCTTTGAGACATCTCCTTAGAATACTTCCTGTCTCTTCTTGCTTACCCTGAACATCCTTTTACCTCACCTCAGCCTATATTTTCTTCTCCTTCATACAGTCTCTTCACTCATTTTGACACCAGTGACTTTGAAGCCCCACATCTGTTTTGGGGACCCTAGTCCTATGTTGACATCTCCCCACGCAGAGTAGCAACTTATAATGTTCAAAGCCTCTCCTGCTCAAAGCCTGTGATGGCTCCCACTGTCTCTAGGATAATAACCTGAACATCAACAGAACAGGAAATGGGAACATTGGCAGATGGAGGGAGGCACCCCCAAGGAGGGAAGATGCCGGTGCATCTATCCTTGAACATCATGCTACAGTTGTCGGCGTGTTGCTGAGGACAGCAGGGAATATTGGAAGATTTCGAAGTAGGGGGTGTTGTAATCTGACTGGTGCACTTCTCAGAAAATTAAGAACCCTTTAGGCAAACTAACCCTCAATAAATACTTACTGAATTAAATTGAATAAAGAACTGGTTTGCCAAACACTAAAGCCATTTGGGAATCTCAGGCATACAAGCTTCACTACTGCCACGGTTGGGAGGTTGGATTCTGATTCTGATGCCTGAGAAGATCATTGTTCTTCCTTTTGCTTCAGGATGGCACCTTCTTGGTCCGAGACTGTTCCACAAAATCCAGGGCGGAACCCTATGTGTTGGTGGTGTTTTATGGGAACAAAGTCTACAATGTGAAAATCCGCTTCCTGGAGAGGAATCAGCAGTTTGCCCTGGGAACAGGGCTCAGAGGAGACGAGGTGTGTATAACCCAATGATTTCCCTTTTCCAGGCTAAGGACAACAACACGGGGAGAACTAGGGGATGCTGGCCGAGTCACCCCCATATCCCCCTGACTGCAGCACTGGAAAGAGCCACCCTGGAGGTGCAGAATGTAATCTAATCCTTCCAGCCCCTTCCACAAGCATTCCCGCTCATGTCTTAGCTCATGGGGCTGGCAGCCAATCCTGACCCTTCCATGCACCCTCTATCCTGCTTTGCCCATTAAAGACAACTCATTCTGTAAAACACATCTACATTCTGCCTGCCAGAAAGCCTCCACTGAGCCCCACGTTAATGCCACACTCCTTCCCCACCCATCGCTGAACTCCCACTGCAGCCATTTCTGATGACATCTGATGGCGTTAGGTAGGTGTGTGTCCCTACATTGAATATGACCTCAATCACAGCATCCAGTGCTACACTGAGCATGCCTGTGCTTGGTACACATCTGCTAACAGGTGGCTAGGTGAAAGAATAACTCAATTAAAGCATTAATTAATAACTGTATAAATAAATCAGAGAGAACAGGGAAAGGAGATTGATTTTCGCTGTGTTTATGCTAGGCTTGGTCTGTCTGCATTATCTTATTTTAACCCTCAACAACTCTTCAATATAATGGTCATCCCTATCTTAGATGTAGGGAAACTGAGGCTTAGAAAATTAAGTAAATGGCTAGAGATGCACAGGTAGTGAGAGGGCAAACGGAGGCTGGTCTTTCAATTCTTCTAGGAAGGAAGGAAGGAAGGAAAGAAGGGAGGGAGGGAAGGAAGGAAGGAGGGAAGGGAAAAAGGGAGGGAAGGAAAGGCAGAGCTCAAATTCTGTCACCATTTACTAAGTATGTGAGCTCAGGCCAGTCACTTAACTTGTCTGAGCTTTAGTTTCTTCAACTGTAAATGTTCTTTTCAAGTCTAGACTTCTATAATTCAGTGATTCTCCCTTAGCATCTCCAGACCTCAATTTTATCTGTTGGTATATATTATGGGCTGAACTGTGTGCCCCTCCCAAATTCCTATGTAAAAATTCTAGCCCCCAGCACCTCAGAATGTGACCGTATTTGGAGATAGGGTCTTTAAAGAGGTGACTAAGATAAAGTGAGGTCACTAGGGTGGGCCCTGATCCAATATGAGTAGTGCCCTTATGAGAAGAGGAGATTAGGACACAGACACACACAGATGTGAAGTCACAGGGAGAAAAGGGCCATTTACAAGCCAAGGAGAAACCTCAGAAGAAACCAACCCTGCTGACACCTTGATCTTGGACTTCTGGCCTCCAGATCTGTGAGAAAATGAATTTCTGTCATTTAAGTCGCTCTACCCCCACCCCGGTCGGTGGTACTTTATTATGGAGGCCCAAGAAAACTGGAACAGTATGAAACCAGAACTGTCACACAAATATCTATTGTTCTTCAATAGATATCAAAATAAGGACTATTGCCAGGGCTACCAAAATGCTTCACGAAGGCGTGTGTGTGAAGATTCCAGCTTAAACCCAGGGTCTGACCCAGAGTCCTTTTCTGAGACTCATATGTGGCTGGAGAGGTGTGGTCAGCACCCGCTAGGCTACCTACCATAGGATCAGTTCACCATCCTTTGCTCCAGCCTGAGAATGTTTTGGCATAAAGGAGAACATGAGTGAATAAATAGATTAATACATAAATCTGTCAAATATTGCCACAGTAAGAAAGGGTTACAGCAAAACTAAAAAGAGAAGTAGCCAATTTTTTCTTTTGTGATGAGGATTAGTGAGTTAATGAATGTAAAACACTCAGAACACTGATTACTGACATATCGCTAAATGTTAGTTATGATTTTTTTTCATTATTATCACTGAGTCATGGCAATAACTAAAACATGGTTCCCCTTAGGTCCAGATATATATGGCTAATGGAATTTCCAGCTCAGTATCCCTTTATCCTCCTGTATTTTCTTCCAGCTCATAGACGTTCTCATTAAAAAAAAACCAAAAAGCTTTTTTCCCAACAAGCCATACTTTGGTCTGCTTATAAAAGAGAAGAAACAGTGACCCTGTGATAACTTCCTAATAGTGTTGAATCAGATTGCCAGCCAGTTCCCTGCAGGTCTCAGCCGGTTGTCATAATGACAGCCCCTGGATTAGACCACCAGCTTTCAGGTGAGCTGCTCTAATTATTGTCACCAAGGACCCCTTAAGAATTCAAATGCCTATGTATAATTGAATCACTTTGCTGTACACCTGGAACATTGTAAATCAGCTATACTTCAATTAAAAAATAAAAATTAAAAAAATAAAATAGACATCATTTTCCTAGATTTTTATATTTGTAGTATTTTTAGGCCAAAAATATTGTAATATTTTGAGATTTTTTTCTCAATCTAAATAAATTTTCATTTATATAACCTAAAAAAAAGAAAAAAAAAGAATTCAAATGTCTATTTTAACACTTTTTGTGTTATTATGGAATTTTCTCCTCTCATGCAACCCCCAAGCAAGAGTCTCCTTTTCATATGTTTATTTAACACTTACATACGTTTATTATGCACAGGCACTATTCTGTGCCGTTAACAATTATTCATTAACTTGATCGGTTTAATCCCATAGCAACCCTGTGGGGTAGGTGCTGTTGATACATTTAACAGATGGTGAAATTGAGGCACAGAAATGTGAAGTAACTGGCCCACAGCCACAGCTAGTACATGCCAAAGCTGGGGTTTAATATAGTCTGCAAAAATATTGACTTTCTCACATAGTCTCAGATAGCATCATAGCAAATGCAAATGATCCCCAGCCCATTTGAAAACAGCCCAGAATTTCAGTTGAAAAAAAGCTAAGATTTCCATGGAGCTTACTGTGTGCCAGGCCCTGGGTGAAAAAAATCACAATTTACAGGTAGTTCTTCCTGCCTGTCTTCTGAACAAGCCGTGCCCTGGTGTAAGAGGGGGATGATCTAGATTGTTCTCAGCTCCTGCACACCTTTCACAGTTCGAGCCCTTTGCCTTGCTGAGGAAGAATCTCCCACCTCTAAGAAAAGATAAAGAATTTGCTACAGCAAGGCTCTGCTAAATGCAAGCCAGGTACTAGCTACTTCATCTGGTGTTTGAATAAAGAAGTTGCATCTTAGTCCAACTCTGCAGGAGAAACGTAATGAGGCACAGGGTTTTCAAGGATAATTTTGATTTCCTGTGGCTTTTTGATTGTCTTTCAAACTTTAGACTTAATCCCCACATACAATGCAGTGACACCTATTCCAAGGGAGGTATTCTGAGTGTAAGATGAGATGCTGTAAAGAGAGTGCCAGATACATAGAGGCAGGTGCTAAGTATCGTTTCTCTCTTAAATGATACCCTAAAGCCCTTTCACTGGGTCTGTGTGTCCCGGACACAGATGAAAAGCTCACATGGAGCCATGAGAATTGCAGGAGAAACCTGGACGGGTCCCCTGGGAAGGCATAGCTTGTCAACACCTGTCACAAGCACAGAAGGCCAGCAAATCCACACATGCCTGCAAAGAATGAGCCAGGGAAGGTCCATTTTGCTGTATATTATAAATTTGGGTCATTCTGCTAGCCATGTGGCTAGAAACTCGTGTCTGAACTTAGATTCAGGGAGCACCCAGTATATTTGTTTTCTGGGATTGCTGTAACAAAATGCCACAAATTGGTAGCTTAAAACAATAAATATGTATTCTTTTGAAGTTCTGGAGTCTAGAAATCTGAAATCAAGGTATTGACAGGCCACCCTTCTTCTGGAGTCTCTGGGGGAAGATCCTTCCGGCCTCTTCCAGCTTCTGGTGGCTGTCAGCAAACTGTGGCTTTCTTGGCTTGTGGCCATATCACTCTGATCTCTGCCTCTGAGGTCACACGCCTTCTCCTCTTCTCCATGCGAATCTCCCTCTGTTTCTATCTTACGAGGATTCAGGATTCAGGATATCTGCTTTTAGAGAAAACCTAGGATCAGCCCCTCTCTCAAGACCTTCCTCCCAAGATACTTAATGTAATCCTAACTTTGCCATGTAAAGTAATATTCACTCTTTTGCTTAGAAGGTCATATTCACAGCTTCCAGGAATTAGGACATGGGATATCTTTTGGAGGCCACCTTTCAGCCCGGGTCTCTCATTTGTTCAGTTTTGGGGCCAAGCCTTAATTTTATGCCTACATTATGCTAGATTCAATGCTTCATTCTGAGGACACAGAGCAGAGCAAGGCAGAGTCCCTGCCATCCAGGGGATACTCTGTTAATCTCTGCCCATCTATGCACGCACCTATTTATCACCTGGTAGAACACTGGCGGCTCTGGACCAGCCAGCAGGGCACCTGCTTGTGAATAACCTGCAGAGCTTTACCTGCTGCCAAGTTTTAGAAATCACATTTGTCAACATTTCTGTGGAGTCTAGTAGAAGCGAGCAATTTTAATCGGACCGTTCCTTGTCCTGCAAATGTTTGTGATAAGTTGCTAAAAAATTATGATAGACGTTTAGTTGTGAAATGCCCGAGGTCGCGAGGCCCCTCCACAAGACCACCAGAGTCG